CCCACCCCTTCAGCCTTGGAACTCAGCCTGGTGGCGGGAGATGGGTACAAGCCCCGGATGGGACCCCAAAGCGGAGGAGAAGGGGGTGTGGGGGTGGCCTCACCATCACCTCCGTGTTGCGCAGCACGTTCTGGTAGCCGGCCGGGTGCAGCACGATGCCGCTGGGGTTGGTGTAAACGCCGTGGATGTGCAGGACGCTGAGCTTCCTCTTCTCCTGCGCCCACTCCAGCACCTGCCCCAAAGAAACCCCTCTGGAAACTCATCGCCTTCGCTCCCGCGGCGCTGTTAAACGTATCATTTTGGGGAAGCCTTTCAAAGAGGGAGCACGTTCTGGTAGCCGGCCGGGTGCAGCACGATGCCGCTGGGGTTGGTGTAAACGCCGTGGATGTGCAGGACGCTGAGCTTCCTCTTCTCCTGCGCCCACTCCAGCACCTGCCCCAAAGAAACCCCTCTGGAAACTCATCGCCTTCGCTCCCGCGGCGCTGTTAAACGTATCATTTTGGGGAAGCCTTTCAAAGAGGGAGTTTCCTCCTCGTTTTAACTCCTCGAGGCCGTAGGCCCCCGCGGCCCGACGGCGCTCGTTGGCGTCGACGCTTCGGCCCGACGGCGAAGGCGATGGGAAGAGACCGAACGGACGCACCGGACTCGGCGGAAAAAAAGGGGGGAAAACTCTACAAATACAACTTCAGCGCGTTTCTCGAGCCTACCAAGCTTCATTTCTTGGCCCTTCCAGGCTCTGAGAAGCTCCGAGGGAGCTCAAGAGCTGACCTTCATTTCAGAAAGCCACTTCTGAGGCTCCCAGTTGACTCCAGCAGCCCTTAGCTCGTTTAAGCTTGCAATAATTAGAACGCTAATTTGGAACCCTGTTAAGTACTTCCAGTGTAGATTAAGGGGTCACGCAGGAAACGCGGAGCTCAGAAAGGAGCTGGAACGGGAAGCGACCAAGCACAACCCCCTCCCGTGGGCGGGAGGGCGCACCCCGCCACCATCCTGCCTCGTCCCAGCTCAGCCCTGACCGAAAAAGGACAATAACCAAATCCTCGGGGTTTACCTTTTTTTCATCTGTCAGGTCCAGAGACTCGAGGTGCTTCCCCTGGTGCGCGGCGTACAGCTCCAGCAGGTTGTCGAAGTTGGTGGTCAACACCAGCGCCCCGTTCTCCATCAGGTGAAGCACCGATTGGAGCAGCTGCTTCCCGGAATCCTCCATTTTAGACTCCAGGTCGTCGAACACTTCGTACAAACAGTCTTTGAAAAAAGTGGAGCGAACGTTGCTTGTGCGCTGGGGAGAGAGGCGGAGATGAGAGCGGGGCTTCTTCTGCCGCTTCCCGACGCGATGATAAACCACCCCCGGATTTCCCAAGGGTCTCGCCAAAGCTCTGGCTCCTCACAAGACTCCCTGCCCCGCAGGAAACACCCCAAAGCTGGTGCGCAGGGCAGAGGTGCGCCTCAGGAACCCAGCACGGTGCCGGCCCTTGTGGGTCCTCGTAGCCAGAGGAATCGTCGGAGATGGGGACAGGCCGGAGACCCAAAATTTGGCGATTTTCAAGGCGGGAAACCTTACGCTGAGCGGGGGGGGGTACCGAATATCGACGGACACTCACCGGAGACAGCTTCTGGATAAGGTCGTGGGCGACGTGAACCAAGTTCTTGTCTTCGTGGAGACACTTTTGGAACCGTTTGCTCTCTTCGTCTTCCAGGAGATCAAAGTCAATAGCAGCGTCCAGGAGGGCCTGGATTAAGCCCTTCCACGACTTCAGCGCCGGCACCTGAGGAGCAACCGCCGCGCTGATCCCCGTCCCGATCACCAGGACGAGCTCCCGAGGCTTCTTGGCTTTGAGGCTTGGCAACAGCTTCCTGCGAGAGGAGAAAGAGGACACGCAGAGGACGAGGGGAGCGGCTCGCTGTGCCTCAAAGCCAGCGTGCAGCTCCACGGACCAACATTCCCAGCGCCCACCATCCCAAGGGATGGAATGACACCACCTTCACCCGTCGAGACGGTGACCGGGGAAGGCAGCGCCGCCCCGGAACGCTCCAGAAGCGAAGCCGATCCCATTAAAATTGGGAAGAAGGGAGGGCTCGTTCCTGGGAGTTGCCTGGAAGCCAGCAGAAAGGCTGGAGACAGCGGGAAAGGTGGGGTGAGCGCCGTGGGATACGTTAGCGATGGCTGCAGAGACACGGGGGAGCAAACCCAACCCTGCCTGCCCCCAAGACACCAGCCCCAGTTATCCCAGTTATCCCAAAAGGAAGGAGGCGAAGGCTTCCCGGTGAGGACCTTCCCACCTCCCGGCCCCTCTTTGCTGAGGAGACCCCTCGGCAGGACGTTGCTGTACCAGGAATCCCTCCCCGTGTCGCTGGGAAGCTCGAGGCCAACCTTTCGGAAGCCCAGATGCTACAAAGGGTCTCACGGAAGGGCGATATTCTCCTTCCTCCTCCTCCTCCTCCTCCCTTCTCCCTTATTTTCCTAGCTTTCCACCTGCACAGCGCTTTTAAATTTGACATTTATTATTTATTGAGTGGATGGGCTTCTCCTGGCCTGGTGTCCAGCTGCTTTTCTGAAGCAGGGGACCGGCTGCAGAGGGTGGAAG